AGGCTGCATTTCCATGGCACCCCTGTGACACAGTCGGGTTCACACGGCGTGTAGCTTTTCCCGGACCCATGGATTAATGCGCTCCAGCAGCAGGCCTGATTTGCGGGCCCACATCCTCGTATGAACTCCGACAGTTGTTAGCAGAGGTGATTCTTCTGACGTCCCACACTCGGCAAGTTGCCAGTACCGGTACCTCGGGAATACTGGATACCCGCTTCGCTTCCCATCCTCGACACGTTCGGTAGCATCCTGACAGCCAGCACTAGCTAGCCCCGTTATTTTCAGAGGCCTGCTCGCCTCCCCCCTGTCGGTCTCCCCCATGCCGAACCAGAATTATTTGTCACTTCTGTCAGTATTGAAGGCACAGCAGCTGGTGATCGCCCCGTGGCTGCTTCTTTGACGGCTGAAGTGGTTTCGGGCCTTTCGGATACAGTGCTAAGCTGGAAACTTTAGATGGGCCACTTGTGGGTAATTTGTTCCCAGATTCCACCGTATGCAATTACCTCTCTACGAAGTCCAGCACCCTAGCTGAGAAACATTGTTCTCCCATTGAGAGGTTTAGCCTCTTATATAAAAGAGAATGAACTTGCATGGATTGTGAATGGATGTCTCACCTGAGGTGGTTGGAATTAGCATGGGGTGCTACATACCGCAGCCAGATTTGACAGTGCACCCCCTCCGCTTTGGTCAAATGCGACTGTACTCATTCCACGGCATGTTAAAGGATCATTCCTTGGGCCCGCTTCAGTTTCCCCCTGAAGGATTAAAGCCTGCAGGCCACTTTTGAACTTTCTGAGTTCGGGTCCTCTGGTGGGAGCCTAAGCACTGCAGCTCAGATAAATCCATGGCTTCTTCAGATGACTTTGCATCCGGCTGAGGAGACGATGATTTCAGTCAAGGGTACCCAGGAAACATGAGAGGTCCTGAGTCAGGGTTAGCCACACTGATTTGAGAAGAGGGAAATGAGGTTGTAGTGCTTCTTGCGGTAGAGGATAAAGAGGACATTTTCCCTACATCTGTGTCATATCGATCGTACTGCTACATCTGTTATATTTACTATTTCTATAGTCTCCGCCATATCTGTTATATTGTGTGGCTACACCTAGCTCCCTTGTGTGTTAGTGTATGCACATTCTCTATTTTTATTTATTAGCTGTTATTCTCCATTTCCTCTCTCTCTTGTGTGTTGCACTTGTCTGCTTTACAGTCTCTGCACTTTGTGTATATATACTGCACCACAGTCCTGGGGAACGTTATTTTGTATCACTGTATCCTGTAGAGTGTAGACTATATATAGTTGGTATGACAATAAAGACCCACTTGACTTGATCAGCAATAATTACAGTCTAACAATGACATATAATAACCTTTCTCTCTGATGCTTTCTGACTGGGTGAGTGTAACCTCCCTGGCTTACTTTGGCCTGCATGGTGAACCATGCGTGATCGCTGAGTCCGTTTTGACTTTGCTGGTGTTACCTCAGTGTACTGGCCATGGCTCACAACGATGTAACATGCGACTGGGATGCTGGGATAGCGAAGCCTCACTTGGCAGAAGAAGCCTCAAACTGACCTTGCCGTCTGTCTCACTCTTCACATTGGAGTTCCATTCACTTTGAAATTGAAGCACAGTCGGGAAGGATTGCTGAACATAAGGACTTCAAAGGTACTTGAGGTTAGGGAGGGGCAAGACTTGTGGGATCTATTATGGCAGGGGGAGTACAGTGTCTCCGGGCAGGCTTGGCTGTACTGCCCATAACTACTTCAGCCAAAATGACCCAGCTGAACAAATGGATAAAATAAGAAGCCTCATTCACCAAATGCACCGGCCAAGTGTCATGGTAATAATATGCAGTAAACAAAGTACTTCAGTCTTGTAATGTTTACACAGCACACGGTGCAACCTGCACAAAGACTGAAAAGTGAAGATAGGTCAGCATATGAAGTGTGCCCAGGTATGTACACAAAGTCATTTTGGTTGGGTGTATCACAGTAAAGGTGACTTTGTTGGTGGTGCACCAGAACGTAGCAGAGGTAAACTGACTAGAATAAGAATGGGTGAATAGCATCATGCCTGTCATCATTGGGACTTTGGGGCTTAGCCTAGGATCTGGCGCTCTTCAAACGGTTGTCGTGGTAACGTGAATCGGGACTGCCCCCCTAGAAACTTCCACTGCTAATCTTGCTGCCTGACAAAGAATTGGCAGATAAGAGCCATATCTCAGTGTTGCTTTTGATAAGAATGTTCCAGAACTGCGACCTGTTCTTTGTTGTTTTCACGCAAGTGCAAACATAGGCTTTGGGAAGAATGGAAAGCTGGGAATGTAAAGTGAGCACCAGACCCTGACCCTGAATCGAAAGATAAATAAACTCCATTTCTGTAACAAGAAAGAGAAAAGCGGAGACGGGTCCTGAATCATTGTATGGCTCTATTAGAGCTAGGATTGGGTCAATTGTCGAGTTAGGGCTGCTTTTATGGTTAGTGTTAGGGTGGCATGTGGGGGGCGGGGGTGGGCTGGGGGTGCCTGAGCACCCGCTCCATTCACCTGAACAAACGAAACTGCCCCCCCCCCAATGTTCAAAGCACCCATTTTCGACAACTGGCAATCATGCTCCCTAGAAGGACCCCCCCACACCCAATCGTGAAAATGAGCAAAAAGCAAAAACTACCAGCTGACCATACACCTGTCCTTTGAAAGCTCTGGTTGAGTTAGAGTTGTTATTAGAAAAATGGGTTAGGTTAGGTTAGGTTTAACTTAAGGTTTAGAGCAGGGGTGGAGCACCATTTTCCAATCAAGGGCCATTTAAATTTTTATAACATCCTTTGAGGGCCGTACTAAAGTACTGAATGCATATATCACATTAAACCAGATATTGTGTTTTCCTGATACTATATCAATTCTGCTTTTTAACAAGCACTTTTATTTTATTTTCTTTCTGATATAGGCAAATGTTAATTACTTTCCTTTGTTACAGGGACTGAGATAAATGTAAATGCAGATCCCAATCTTCTGACTACATAAAAAAGGAAACTTTTTAAACTCAGATTGTATGCATAAGGTAGTGTGTTCTTTATACTACAAGGTTTTCCTAAAATTAGATTTTAAAAATTGGAATATAAGTCCTAACTTACAGTATTGCACTGTATCACAATATATTGAATTGTAACCCTTGTATCATGATACATGTTGTATCACCAGATTCTTGCCAATACACAGCCCTAATATTTAATGTTAATTTCTTTTATGCCATGAAAAAAGTAATTGCTGTTCAGAGTTGAGTTTTTTTTTGAGTCACTTATTTTGTATTTATGAAATGCCTTGCGGGCCGGATCAAACTGTTTTGTGGGTTGCATCTGACCCCACGGCTGGATGTTCCTTACCCCTGGTTTAGAGCTAGGTTTAGGTTTACTATTAGGATTTGAGCTAAGATTAGGGTTGGAGGTTTACATTAATCTGCATTTGAACAAAAGTGCGATATGTATCTTTTACCCAGCAGTTTGCCCCCTGTTGGTGAATTAATGACAAGGCCCTTCAGCAGATTAAATGCGTGACTACACCTCTTGTTCCCCAGCCATTTCTACCATCATGCTTACCAATAGCTGCCTTCTGCCTTATCCTTCTTCTCACTGTCCTTCTTGTTAAAGGGTACTTCCCTTACTTGTTGTTATTTTGATTTAAATTGGCTAGATGGTGACTGCAGGTGCACTGTGATTACCCTTGACAAATAATCCTTCATCTTGTCACAGACGTAGCAGTACCGTCAAGCCACTCTTGCATCGGGGAGCCAGGTGGTTAAACACGTCAAGGCTCTCACAAATGCGTCTCTGATTGCATTGGTGCTACAACAGGACCACTCAAATATTTTGATAATATCAACAGGGACGTCTGCAAATCATAGACTAACCCAGATCGGTGCAAGTGCACCAGAGACGGCAAACCATCTTGCACAAAGTGCTTAAAAAGATTTGCAGCTAGTCTCACATTGCCACAGATGTCAATATTGAGATGAGAATTTACGGGGGACCTTCCATTGCTATGAATAGTGTTGTGATTACGAATTAATGAGCTGGCTTCGGGTGCTGTGGTCCATGCATTAAATGAGGCTTTAATCATCCGTAAAAACCCCCGGCCTCAAAACAAACTTGGTCGTGCAAATTGCGTCGCTACGGTAAGAGGAAATTGAAGCACAGTTGCATACTGAGGCGCTTTGCTGAGGGCCCGAGTGCGTGATGTTGTTTTGAAGCAGCCGGCTCTGCAATTGGCTCACAATTCACCTCCTCATTTTAGCAAAAGGGCTATAACTTCGGAGAAAATTTGACAAGAATGGCCTTTGACGTCCCTTCCTGAGTAAACTGCCTTTGTCAATCTGCTTGATTCCATTTTGTCTGGGTCCGTGTCATGGATGGGGTGGCATGACTGAATTTTGGTGTTTTCTCATAAATAAACTGCAGGGCAGATGAGAAGGTAAAAACAGAGAGCACAACATCGACTCTTTGGGGGACTGCTAAAAAATTGGGGGCGATGTGGTTTGATTACAGTAACAACACTGTCTCTTCATAAGACTTGATCAGGCTTCCTCTGGGTTTCCTGACAGTCCAAAGATACTGTGTAACATCGAGTTAATGACTTTATATTTCCCTTGGTGTGTGCGTGTGTATGTGTATGTGTATGAATGCACACAGAAAGTAGTGTACCATCCAGGGTGTATCCTGCCACTGACTCTCTGATTGGCTGAGTGAATTATTGATGGAGCAGGGAGCCAACTAGACACTGTAACCATTCTGTTGGGGGCGTGGCATCTGTCCTGTTCCTAATAGCAGAAGTTGCACTGAAGATATGCGCAGAAACACGCTAAGGTTTCAAACTGCTGTAGCATTAACCCTGGGTTGGAGGTAGGTTATCATGTTATGAAAGTGATAGTAATAATATACTGATACAGATGTACAGGACTGGAGGAAGAAATCTCAGTGTTTTGTATAATAATTAACAAGAAGACAAATTTGTCAGATGTTTTTATAACCAAATATACAAAAACTATATACATTCAGATACACCTTGGTAGTCTCAAGGCAGACTGGCTTCTGACAGGTCTCACACATTGAAGTCCGCACACCTTTGGCCATCCTCCCTGTAGGACAGCTCTGCTTTCCACTCCATTTGGAAGGTCCACAGTATGTTTGGCACTTCTGCAGATGGCCAGGCTCGCAGTCCGGTCCGAGCGGTACCCCGTGGTTCTGGTGGAACGGGGCAGTTGCCAATGTAGGGCTTGAGCAATGACGACATGGCTGTGGTCTAAGTAGCAGGCAGCCATTTTAAAAATGGAGGATTCTCAGAGATGCACAATTACCAAAATAAAAGCCTGTTTTTCACAAGAAGCTGTGACGGCTTCTGTGGAGCATGACCTTCAGACACCTTCAACTCGAATTGGCATGGTGAGTCAGCAGTTTTGGGAAACGGGACTTTTTTTCCTATAATGATGTCGCTCCAGAATTACTTAGTACAGTGTCAGCCATGGAAGTCACTGGGAGTGTTTCAAGACAGGTCACCCAATGAGGTTTACTGTTTTTTGTTCCTGTTTTTTTCCCCTACCTGTGCATCATCCAGACCAACCAAAAGAAAAAATTGAAAAAAGTCTATGGAATACATTAAACATATCAACCATAAAATCCACATGGGATTACAATCTGCGAACTTCCTGAATGCCTGGAAACATTCAGAATTTCTGGGGAATTTCTTTAAATACACATAAAAATGGAATTACTATCCAAACACCAGTACGATAACCACGTTACATCATTAGGTTTAAACGTCATGTTTGTTTTGCGTGTGAGTTCTCAGCCAATAATTTATATAAACTATATATACCACGCATGAATAAATAGATATAACTGTCCAGAACAGGTGTTACTGGAGCCTAGGAGACTGACATTTTTCTAACAGTGACAAATACTGGATGATGGACTTGCAGGTTGTCTAACATAAAACAGGATTCTCCCAAAATTCCACGCTCTTTTCACTAGCACGGGATTAGCCAGTCTAGCTAGAAATACTAAAAACACAAAGGGGTGAGAGAGAATTCCCCAACATCCATGCTCTTCTCCATGGTATTCCACATCAGAACTAGAGACTGCCCCCTATCGAATGAACCGCTCGCCTGATTTCCCGCTTCCCCCATTCGCCGGAGGCTCACGGGAGTATAATGTCAAGAGGAGCAGGTTGTTTCTGACCTCCCTGACAGCCCCTAAGGCCCATCCTGAAAAGCCGGCCTCCTCTGCACTGGAGCACAATGGTATGTCTGCAGCAATGTGAACTTGAGAGTTCAAGGGGTCGGAGGTCAGAGGTCAAAGGTGAGGAGAGGGCAGATCTTGCCAGGGGTTAAGGGGGGGGAGCTACCAGAGTGGGCCGCTCGCCTCCAACGCCCCATACATCTCGGCCAGTTTCCGGAAGCGGGGCCCCCAGTCACTGAGATAGTCATAATCGTGGTCGCCGTTGGAGGTGGCGGACTGCAGCGAGCTAAGCGAATCGGCTACTGAGCCCTCCCCCTCGTAGGCGTATGTCTGGAGCGAGTCATAGGGGGGTGCGCAGGGGTCCAGGTCAGCCTCGAAGAGCTTGGCCAGCACATAACCATGCACGCCGCCGCCGGATACTGGAACTTGCGGCACGTGCCGCGACAGGCTCTCGATTTCGGGCACCATGTCCTGCCGGATCCGGCCCAGGTGCACCTCCCGGGGGTTCCACATGGCGGCGATGTCGAAGGCCTCCGTGTCCTCCTCGCCACCGCCCTCGTCGTCGTACCGCACGATGTTCTCGTGCACGTTCTCCTCCTCGTCGCACAGGTATGGCTTCTTGCGGTGGCTCCGGAGAGACAGGACTAGCAGAGTCATCACTGGGGAGGGATTGTCGGGGGGGGGGGAGGAGGGATTTATGGGTCAGGATAGTACCGGTAAGCCTTGATATACAGCTTTGTGTTGCCCTCCCCTGTTCACAGCCAAATATATGCATATTCATATGACAGAATTTATTATCTAACCTATCACCAAAGGCTTTTGGATTAAAAAACAATAAAAAAATACTCTGTTTCTAATATATATGGTCTACATGCTATAATAATCATTATTCAATAAACTTATACTTATTAAAATGTGTTGTAGTCAATTGTAATTAAAAGGTGCGTGTCACTTTAAGATGTGGTAGGAACTGAGACATGTGACCATGACATCATCCACTTCACCTGTGCCTTATTACCGATCCTATAAGCCTTGGCTGCTGCTGTTTCTCTCAGGCCCAGAACGCTGCAGTCTTGACACCCTGCGCAGTTCCCTTTTCTTTTCGTTCTTCTGTTCCCCTCAATTTGTCGAGGCCATCGTTCCCGCTACTCTGCCCCCCCAACGTAACTTCCTTCTCCCCGCAGCTCATCTCACGGCTGTACATGTGACATGCTGACAAGATCTGTCATCGCCAATCTACCAGCTCTCGTGCTCGGAGGAGCCTCGATACACGTTACATCACGCGGCCTGTGCCCCAGGCCCCGCTGTGTAGCAAACCCACAGCAAGGAACACATAGCAATTGGTCCTGCTGCTTTTAACACGGAAATAGCTGTTGCTGACGGTTATCCATGTGCTACCAAAATAATATCACTCTATAAGTAATCATAGAAGCTCCCCACTACTCTTTCACCGGCGTTGTCATGACTACCCCCATCACAGTCACATAAACCTCATGCATGATACTCTTCCAAGGTTGACAGCCCCGCAGGATGTACGGCAGAGATATTCATTAAGCAGCTATTATCACTCAGTTTTAGTGTGCTTGGAAAGAGGCTTGCATATAATCAAAGAATTCAATAAACTATTTAAATTTAATGAAATGTTAAATATCGAAGTTGAAAGCGTCTCTGGTATAGACAGGAAACACATGATGTAATAATATTACACTCCTAGGTATTGTAGTGGTACTATAACTGTGGATATTGTGCTAATACAAAGGGTATTACAGTAGAACTACTTCCATGGGTACTGCAGCATTAGTATTAATTAATACTATGGGTGTTACAGTAGCACTGCTATGTTGGGTATTGTATTATTAGTACTAAAACTGGGGGTATTGCAGTAGTACTGATACCCTGAGTATTGTGCTATTAGTACTAATACTACAGGCATTGATGTCACTTGGTGTCGCTGAGTATGGTTTTATACATAATGGCAGTTTAGTGCAGCAGGTACCGAGGAGAACGAAGACGCAGGCCAGGATGGCGATGAGTGCTCCACGGCTCAAGCTGGCAGGTAATGCATAGGCCTCGGCGTTGCAGGAGATCACGGTGCCACCACCGTCGCAGCTGCACACACGCACTGTCAGAGTACCGGTGCTGGTCTGCACCGGCTTCTGGCCATCAGAGATGAAGATGGGCAGCCGGTAGATGCTCTGGTCACGTTGAGAGAACCCGCCGCGTCGCGTCAGGATCCAGGCTGAGTTATCTTAGGTTGGAGGGGGTGGGAGAATAGAGGCCTGTTAGTGAGCAGCCAGCTAGGCCAGCTGGCCAGCCGGGGGAGTTTTCCTTTGTAGTACGAAAGTACCGTCCCGTGTGGGATCTGTCTGGGATTAGATGACACAGTTGCTAGTTCCAAAAACCTGACAGCACACATCTGGGTTGGATGCCCAGGTACAGGCCGACCTGCAGTCCAACAGATGTGCAACTCTGTCATGAGAATGCCAGAGGCAGCTGGAAACATGCATATCCCCTACGTTCCTGGCTGGCTCGTAATCAAGGTTGTGATCTTCTGATTTTGCCAGTTGATTTATCATTGAAAGACGCACATTGGCACTGAGACGAGAGCCAAAGCTACAGCTCAAAGGGAAGGCTTGCATTGTCGAGGATTGCACTTTCCAAAATTTGCATCCCACTTCAGTCATTTCCAATTCTGTATCAGGCTAAGGCATTTGCGTTGAAGGCAGGCCGCGTACCGCTTTGACACACTTCATTGCAACCGCTATCTTACAGGTCCCTAAAACCTGCTCCTGCAGTCAACCGAGATAATGCGGTGGGCTTAAATCCTACGGCAGCCAGCATGCTAACTCGACTCTGTCAATTTATTGAAGGCCTGTTCTTAAATCCGAGCCACTTGTCTGAAACACAAGGCACAGCCTTTCCTGGCCAGGCTGCTGGAGGCTGCGTGCAAGAAATGTTCACGGTACCCCATGCACTGTAACCGGGTTTCATTTGCAAAGCTTCAGTGACTAAAAGTCAGACTGCAAACACTTCACATAGCTTGCAGATCAACAATTGCTTCATATTCATTCTGCAGTAATGTTGAGTAAATCTTTGAAGGAAACTTTCACAAGGTTACACTGATGTTCCCAGTCCAACTGATCTGTTCGCTTGCCAACTGAAAGCCTCAGTAACTTCATATGCTGAAAAACATCGGCATATTGGAAGCAGATTTAACGCATATTTTAGTGGAAGTGAGCTTGAGATGGTATAACCGATGTCTCAGATAACAGCTATACTTGATCATACTTGATCAGTAGCCAGTCTGGGCTGGAGATGCTGCTCCTGCTCCAACCAGCTTCCTTACCTTGGTTGTCCCGGAGCGTGAAGTTGGGGTTGTTGGCTGCCTCGGGTGCCAGGCTGTAGTAGAAGTGCTGCCCCCCAAGTGGGTCATCAAGGTCCACAGCTGTCACTGTCTGAACCAGCTGTGAACCAGCAAAGAAACGCAAGAAAAATATGAGCAGTGAGAAATCTACAAGTACCGTCTTGATGGATGATCGGCAAGTGTATGTAATGTAATTTAGTCAATATTGGTCACCACATCAGCCGTCTGCTCCTTCTGCATCACGTGATTCTATGGCTGGACAACTCAGGCTGATGTATTTTAATCTAGCTTCCAAATGTGAAGTACTTCAGTCATACTGCGGGAGTGATGTGGAGTCCATCCGTGAAATTCGATTATTTTCACAGCAGATGCTCATATCCGCAGTGACGTTTGTAACTCACAGCCTTCTCCAGAGTGTCTTTCGCAGCGAGTGCTGAACAGTGCTGAGCCCTGGGATTACGCTCGCAGTTCATTGATCGCTAAAGCCACGTTAAGGCTATGTCTCAGACACAGTCAGCAGCTTGTGTTTGGCCTGCACTTGTACTTAAGGTCAGGTCACATCAACTTGCAATCAGTGCACCTGGATGTTTTACCGGAGCAATCAGCTTAAGTACCTTATTCAATAGCAAAACAGTCGAGCTCTGAGCAGAGATGAGTATCTTTAGCTACTATACTACCGGCTGCTAGCCAAAATTATCCCAACTGGGATTACAGTACCTGCCCAGCTTTCGCATTCTCGCAGACGAAAGCTTCATAGTATTGTGCCAGCTGGGGGGGGTTGTCATTGACATCCAGTACCTTCACCGTGACTGACACGCTGCCGATTTGAGAGGGATTATCTGCAAGGGGAGAGGATATGAGCTCAGTACAAATCTGTTTAAATGAAGTCTGGGGTGAATCGCTCATTAGACTCCCATGAGGCTTGTGGGATTTGCGGGTCGTGTGTGTCACATTTTGGCATTTGCGGTGCCCCTGTGGCGCAGTCAGGCGCTCCTCCGGCAGGCCCATTACTCATCATAACCAACAACAATTTTCATGCCTTAATCAAGTGCGTAATTGTGAAATAAGTTGCACGTAAGTGGTGGTATTAACTGATGCAGGGTCCTTCCATCAATCAATTAATTAGAGGAAGATGCAATCAATTCTCCCACTGACTTCAGGTAATGCTGAAAGCCAGAAAAGACCGTTCTCAGCTTGAATAGCTGTTGTTTTTTTTTTTTCATTTAAAAATGCTGACATGCGGTATTAAGATTGTGTATTGATTTAAAAAACAATCTAGGAGCTCCACAAGTGTACCTGGCATGTGTTTGTTTTCTTGCTGTGTAGAACAGAATGTTCAAAGCGCAATGCTGCTACAAGAATATTAGATGGGCAACTATCATGCTATATCACTAATTAACTCATGCACAATATGGATAACATTAGATGTAGAAGCTTCTGCAAAGTTATGAGACACTGTATCTTAGCTAAGGTGTTGGGTTTATCAACAGAATCAGGAAACCAGAGTGTAGATTCCCAGCAGGTGTCAATTACAATTTTAGCCTAGGCTTGAGTGTCTCGCTAGTAGTCTACATGTTGAGGAATCTGTAGCGCAATGACTCACTCATCTCCATTGCCAGCAGGGTGACGTTGTGCCAGGCAACCTCCTCTCGATCCAGTGGCCTCACAGTCATCAGTGCTCCGGATGTGATGTCAATGTAGAAGTACTTCCCAGGGTCACTGGTCTTCTCGATGGAGTACCTGACCAGCCAACATGGGTGACGAAGAGGAAGACGGATGTTGGTCCGTTATGTGTCGATTTATCAGTCAAGTGGCAGAAGGGTTTCTTTACGTTCTGCCATTGATGCACAGGTTTTGCATTCAGCGAGGGGCCTTGCCAGTGAGCAGATGTGGAACTGCAAGGTTTTCCAAGACTCAGTTTGACAGCCATTGACGTTGGGCTCAGGAGACTTATCTGCCAGAGGAGGGATGTTTCTCGCACAGACCCACTAGAGTCGGGCTATTAGCCTGAAAAATGATTGTCAGTTTTCCAGCCTTATAGATCTAACATAAATTGCACTACACCCATGGAAAGTTGATTGTAAGGCAAGACGGATCCCCAGCAGTCTATTGAGGTTTAATTTCCCTTTTCTTCGTACGCATCAAGAATGACTGGCTCATTGCTCGCCTCCTCCCTGTCTGGGGCTGATATCAGGCTGGTTTTCTGTCAGAAAAAGCCCCTGTACTTTCAGCTCCTGTTTTGCCAAGGGGGGAGCAAGAGGCACGGCGGGTGTTGGAAGCCAAAAGAAATTCCCCCGAAGTACATCTGCACTATTCTTCCACCAATGAATAGTCAAATGAATAGTGTCGAACAGTTGCGCGTTTTTTTGTTTGTCTGTGTGTGTGTGTGTGTGTATGACAATGTGTGCAATTTATCAAATCAATGGAACTGGTGGAGAACAGAGGTAGGGGGCTGAGGGTGGCTATTAATGGTAGGTCTTTCGACACTTGATGCTGCTGTTTCTTGTCCAGCATGTAATTACGTCCAATCTGCCTTTTCATCCCAGGCAAACGAAGACTGCATTTCCTCCCCGATCAGCATACTCGTCACTGGTTGTGATAAAGACCCGGGATACTGAGTGGGAAAGCTTTGTCTCTCGTTACAGAAGTGGTGGGGGTTGTCTGCAAACACCTCTCTATTACGTGATATTGGATGATCGTTTAAAATGGCCTAATCCCCCGACTGCGCAGTCCCTGAGCTGTCCTGTAATTACAAACCTGAAATGGGCAATCTTTTGAAGATCACACGGACAAGCTGACGGAGGAAATTCTCTGGGATGGTGATAATTATGAAGAGAAAAACATGCTGGATGCCACCACAACCCCCAATGCCCTAATGGCGTCGGTGTGGTTTCCACGTCAGCACCAGTAGGTGTCCCGAGGCAGCTGTGGGCGGTGTAGCAGCAGACGTCTGAGGATTATCCTATCCCCGATCGTCTGCTCGTGCCTGACCCTTCCTCCAGGGTGATTCTGAATGTACCGAGCCCTGCAGCCGGGAAGGTCGGGAGGGGGACAGCTGTCTGGCAGATCAGCCGTTCCCCCAGAGGCTCCCTCCGCTGCCCGGTGCCCTGCTTCTCCTCTCCAAGGAGACCCTTGATTGTCAGACTGCAGCAATGGACTCTGCCCTATGGCACACGCTAGGTCAGTTGTTCCGTTTTACATTTTCACGCTCCAAACGCATCCTCTGATGCAGAGACTGTCTCTTTCGGAAGTCTACAATGGCATTCCTTTCACTATAGACTCAAATCCTCAGCAGACTCTGGTCTGATAATTTTCTCCACAGCTCTCTGCGGCGCTTGACTCTATCAGGAATGCTGGCTCTTAATCCTCCACAGCAGCCACAGCACTGGCCACTGCCTATCACGCTATTTGCGGGTCTTGATTCCAGCTCTTGGGTCTTCCTAGCTAATCCTTATCAAGCTCGGCTGATGGATTCTGGCCTCAGGCTTCTGGTCCACTGGATAAGGGACATCGTCCTTGAAAAGGACCCTGCAGATCACGGAGAACGGGGCAAAACTGACTCCTCTTTGTCTGGGCTTGTACACAAGCTGCTGCTTTTACCCTTTCAGAGAGCCCAAGACCCCGCATGGGTGAAGGGAATAAGCTGCCTAAATTTATAGAATGAATCAACGAATAAACATGTTTATGAGACAAACGCGGGGAACATGAACAACTGACACCAACAGGCTCTTGGCTGCTATCAGGGTGAGGAGAGATTGGCGGGAGGTAGGGATTCACGCGCGGAAACAGCACACGGATTTAACGGAGCCGAACGGGCCCTTAATTAAAAAGGCCGTGAATTCCCGCAGAGTTGAGCGGGTTGTGTTTGGCTTCACAGCCCAGGAAGCTTATGCTCACCACTACTGTCGCATATTTGCTGACCTCAGAACAGATAGATGATAGCCCTGCACAAACATATGTGACAATTCTGCCACCTACTGACAGAGAGTTAGTATAACTAGTGATTTAAGAATGAAGAGTATAGCAGAGACGTGGAAATGGTCAGACTATATTTAAACTGCACACACAAGCATGTGGTCAGAATCAAACCCATGATACTGGAGGTGTAAGGCAACAGCGCCACCTGGTGAGTTTTTTAAATTTCTGATTACTTCATTGCTATTCAAATGTTTTTTGACAGGGCCGCTCCATAGGGCTGATATATTTGGCCTGATCCGCCCCCCCACTGTAACCCCCAAAAAACTTTAATTATTAAATAAAATTGCATAAAATTGAATTCTTTTAATTTGTTAGCATCATATAATGCATACAGGTATATTTTCAAAAATATTTTCGAAATAGGTCTCAAATCCTCAAACATATTTCTCTTTGTTCCTCTCGCCTGCATCCTCCTTGCAATTCCCTCTAACTCCACCAGGCGGCTATTAAATTGGATCGGATATTAAATTCCATTTTGCCCTATATTTGTGTGCAGCACCCCTCTGAGTGCCACCTACACCTCACCTTATGGAGTTATTGGCCGCATCGGGGTCCCGGGCGTAGGCCATCTTCAGCGCGGTGCCCACCTCGGCGTCCTCGGGCACCTCCACGAAGTAGGCGGGGGCATCGAAGAGCGGGGGCTCGTCCACATCCTCCACACTGATGTGCACGATGGTGACGTCACTGAAGGGCCCCAGGCTCAGGAAGCGCGGGTCCAGCTGTGTGTTGGCGCCCTCTACCTTCAGAGTGTGGCTGCGCTTGGTCTCAAAGTCCAGCCGCTGTTGGGGGGGGGGGGGGGGGGATGAAATATTACAGTTTCATGGACCCAAAACTCTATTCATCAGAATCTGCAATCAGTAATTATGAAAGAAATTATAATGCAAATCTGGGCTGTCTGTCACTTTACAGATTTTCTCAATTGCTTTGGCATATTATTCAAATGACAATTAACATTTGCAAAACAACTAGTGTAATCTCCACACCATAATGTCACTTCTGCACATCATTTCTTATTGCTTCACACAAATTTTCAAATGTTTTAGTGCATATATGCAAATGGTTTTGTACAATTCTCATCCTTTGGCAAGATTTTCAGTTGTTTTGGTCTTGTTGGTTATAATAGATTATGTAGTTTCCCACTGTAATAATTTTACACCCAAAATATATAAAATATATAAAATATATATAAGTGATCACCGTATTAGCCACCAGAAGTAAAACAGTTGAGCTTTCAAAATATATATTCCATAAATTGCAGTGATATGTCATTGTTATGTTTTTGGTTCCCACGGTACATGATTTTGTTGTTATTTTGTTGTTCTTGTACTGCCATTTTGCTATTTTTGTGTTGTACAGTGCTGGGTGACTTTTTTGTTTGCTATTGTACTGTGTCTTGAGATCTGACATGTAGTGCTAGCGAATGCTTCCTCTTGCCAGTGAACTTTACATACTTTAATGCAGAGCTTTGCAATGTTATAACAGGTGTCTGTGAATGAAAAAGTAACAATGTGCTAATGAAAAATGATCAGCCAGTGACAATGAGAAAGTGAGAACCGACTATCATTCAGAATTATGGCGCATACTTACACTGACATTTTGACAATATATCTAAGCATTTTGACGCTCATAGTTAAACCGATGTAGATTGTACTTTTCATTTTGGTGGCACTGAGTGATTCATTGAGGAATTATTTATTTTTGATACTTGAGTTAATTGTTTGGGTTACAGGCTTTTGCAGCTAAACCATAATGTGCTGTATGCATGAACTGTTTTGAGAAATGCTCTTATACTCTTGAGAATTTTAAGTAGCTTTCATGAAATATGCCAAAGCAATTGAGAAAAACAAACCAACATACAAACAAACAAACTTCCTGAAGGATTGAATAACTTTAAATAAGCTCTGCGCTCCCATGTCACAGTTGTCTGTCACCCAGCAAGCGTGTGATAGATAGCTTGGGCTCAGATGATCTCGTCTATCGTCTCCCAATCAACCCCCTGACACCCTCAGCTGCCCCCTGCTGCCCCCCACCCACCTTTTTGACAGTAATGATGCCAAACTGGTTGGTAGGGTCGGTGCTAATGTGAAAGCAGTCCCGGCCATCGCCGTCGATGATGGAGTACTTCACTGCTGCGTTGATGCCCTCATCGCGGTCCTTGGCTCTGATCCGGCCCACCACTGACCCGACTGGTGCCGACTCTGGGACACTCATCTGATATAGCCCTGGACCACAAAGACACGGATGTAAACTGCTTAGGTGGAAAGAAGCAACATCAACTAAACTGCTAGATTGAACACTTACGGATTTTCTCGATTGCTTTGCCGCATTTCTTAACCAAGAATTAACATTTGCAAAACAACAAGTGTAATCCCCACACTATAATGTAACTTCTGCACAGCAGAACATCATTTATCAATGCTTCACACACATTTCTAAGTGTTTTAGTACATATATGCAGCTGGTTTTATACAATTGTCATCATTTGCCACAATTTTCAGTCCTGTTGGTCAAACTAGATTATGTAGTTTCCCATTGTAATAATGATACACCCAAAACTATTTATGTATGTGATCATCATGTTAGCCACCACATAAAAAACAATTAACTAGGCTTTCAAAATTATTTAAAAATACATATATTTCATGTATTGCAGTTATATGCCATTGCTGCATTTTTGGTTCCCTCAGTACATTTTGTTGTTTCTGTGTTGTCATTTTGCTGTGTGACTGTTTGGTTTGATATTGCACCGTACCTTGAGACCTGAAGTTTCATGTGCATGCGAGTGCCTTATCTTGCCAGTGAACTTTGCATACTGTAATGTAGAGCCTTGCAGTGTTGAAAGTGGTGCCTTTGACTTGAATAAGTATTAGTTTGCTAAAGAAAAATGAACAGCCAGTGACAATGAGAAATTGGAAACCGGCTATCATTCAAAATTGTGGAGCTTTGGAGCATACTGAGAATATATCTAAGCATTTTGACTCTCATAGTTAAATCAATACTGATTGTACTTTCAATTTTGGTGGCACTCACTAATTCATTGGTGCAATTATTTGCTTTTGAGAAGTGAGTTAATTGTTGTGGGTGAGTTACAGGCTTTTGCAGCTAAACCATAGTGTTGTGCTATATGAACTGTTTAGAGAAATGCCCTTTTACTCTTGACAATGTTAAGCACGTTTCAGAAAATGTGCCAAGGCAATCGAGAAAAATTGTATTGTCGTAACATTGTTTATAGATCACTTCTTTACCACATGGTGGCGCCATTGGCCAGTGAATCGCATAAAGATCATCAGCTTTTCATTCAAGAATCAAGAGTTTGTCATGTGCGCAATAAACAGTCGGTTCCACTATGCAATGAAAATCCTGTTTTACATATCCTGCTGCTAAACACAAAACAGATCAGTACATTTACTTTACATTTACATTTAGCACCTTTCTTCATTGACTTTTATAATACTGTAGCTGAAATATGAAGATGAGAAATACTACTACTACTACTACTACTACAACAAATAATAATAATAATTACGAAGACATGTCATAACATGAGAAGTGTGCGTTATTTCTGAGTTTGATGTATACAGAAACCTTGCAATGTTTATATAATGCAGTGGTAATTGCATTACAGTGTGTCTCTGTGGTAGGGTTAGGGTAGTACTGACTCTGAGTGAACCTTGGCGGGTTGTCGTTGACGTCGCTCAGGGTTATGTTGACGGTGGTGGTGCCGGCCAGCCCCCCCAGCTGCCCCCCCATGTCCTTGGCCTGGATGACGATCTGGTAGTCCTCACGGACCTCCCGGTCCATGTCTGGCAGAGAGACACGCACAATGCCTGGGGGTGTGGATCAGATTGGTCAGCTCCGTCTGTCATTGGTTTGTCTTTTTGCCAGTCAGTTTTGTCAGTTTTTAACTCAAGAGCAGATTTTTAGCTTGTGGGATTCAGATACAACAAATCAGTACTTTCTGGCATCAAAAAGACACAATCACTACCACAAGAATAATGTAAGAAATTGCTGCCTGTTTTGGCCTGTTATACATTTTTATGTTTTATAATGATTTTAGGTATGATTGAGCAGTGTTGCAGTTAAAACTTCCAATATTATTACACCGTATCAATTTCATACACCATATCAATCAACTGACACTTGGCATGCTCCTTAGGAAATACGTATATACAATGTAATTATTGTTTAATACTGTACTTCCTTCCACTGTGCTTGTAATGTCAGGTAATGGCCACAAGATGGCGAAGTTGCCTGGATTTTAAACACTTTAGTATAAACAGAATGATGCCTTCAGAAAAGGACAGTAGAATCCCCTTTTTCTTGAATCATTCAATCTGGAATGGAGCCACTGAGTTAATCAGCTGAAAAGAAAAATGTTCATTCACTTTGACCCGGTAACGGAAACAGAGGGAACAAAGATGGTTCCCTGCCACCGATCAACAAGGACGTGACACCATGTGATCATATTGTGGTCACAGCTGCCTGTCATTTGTCTTTGGCGAGAGCGGGACGCCGTGTGTCTGCCTACCCACACGCCAGCTCGTTCTGGTACTCTTGGCTGCGTAAACTGGCTATAGCTGATCCAAATGGGCCTCGGCTCAATGGCATGAAATTAACAGGAGAATCTCATGGTATGCTGGGGGGGGGGGTTCCTTCAGAGCAACAAAACCTCATTTGCTTCACTAGTGCAGTTCACTTCCACCGAAAGAAATGGGACTGACGGGTTTGTCCCCATCTCCGTAAGATCCTGAAATAGTCCGGACCTCCTCATTCACTCATCATTGGTCTTCGCTAAACCAAAAAAACTGCCTGCCTGAGTATATTAATTTATTGTTTCCTACTGTAGGGGAGTTATGATGAATATGGTTAGCAGGGGTGGTTCTGTTGCAGGATGATGTCATTTGTGGGCATGTATTTAGGGTATGATGATGTAATTTAGCAGGTATGTTTCAGGATGATGATGTCATTTGTCATTGTGTATAAGGATATGATGTAATAATTTTGTGGGGATGTTTTAAGTTGCAGTCTTGGGGGGGGGTTGTTGCTTGTTTTGGGTACCTGTCCCCCACCTGTTTGTGGTTCCACAGAGAAGTAGGGCTGTCCCTGCAGGATGCTGTACACCACCCGGGCGCTGTTCCCGTAGGTGGGGTCGTCCGCGTCCGTCGCCGTCAGCTGGATCACAGAGGTACCTGGGGGGCAGGGTTAAAGCTTAGAATGAAGCAGGACACAAGTGGAAAATCAGAGGAGATCAGGTCATTCTTCTGAGCTGAGGCTGACTGGCATAAGGAAGCAATGGATGGACAGAGGTGGAGAGAATGATCCAGAAAAAAGTCCACTGTCCCATCTGTAGCCACCAGATAATGGACACTTTCATACCACAGGAACTTTTTTCTGGAACCAGAACCTTTTTCCAAAACAGAACTTTTGTCATGTTCACATCGCAGAAAATCGGCCCGATTGTAGTTCCTCAGAGGTAGTTACAGTACCTACTCCAGACAAGGTACTTTTCGTTTGAACATGAACTACCGGGGAGGTGCTTACAGTGATAGCTTGCTGATTGGTCGACCACAAGCCCTGGCGCTAACTTGGAAGTTATATGGAAGTGCAGGGAAAAGAGATATAATGAGTGGAGCAAAAATGAAGCAGATGGAATAATTTTCGTACATCAACTACATTAAATGAGTTCATTTTTTTTCTTACATCTCAATATTTCTGCATTGGAAAATTTGATTACTAACCAATATACTTTTGTCAGCGGTAAAACTTGCCAGCACAGAATAACATTACATCATTTTTTATTCTGTGAAACTGGAAGATCGATCTGCTGGCCAGATTTAATAATGAAATATAAATATGTCGTGTGTCGAATTAATAAAATATAAATAAAAGGGTGTGTCCCATTTTAATTGTGATTGCCCCCCTCATAACTAATAAATAACTAACAAAACAACTTCTTCATCCTCCATTGTTTTGGGGTGACGGTGCAGTTTTGAGTTATGTGTGAAGTTTAACCTCTGAGCTTTTTGCATCTCCCACGCCTATTTAGCATAAAGGTCCCAGTACTGTTGTGTGGTGTAAGAGTGACCAGGAGCAGTAAAAGTTCCTGGTCTAGACAGCCCAGGAAGTTGTAAACCGGGACCTGGCTCTCGATTTTCGATGTGATAACACACACTCAGACACACGTAGCACAAGCCCTCACCAATTTCAGACATCTCCGGCACGGTGGCCTGGTAAGGCCCATCCAGGAACTTGGGCTCGTTGTCGTTGATGTCCTGGATCTTGACGATGAACTCAGACTCGGGTTCCAGGGGGCGGCCCGTTTGCCTCTGCAGGGCCTGGGCCCGCAGCACGTACTGGGCCTTGACTTCCCGGTCCAGCCGCTGCACGGCGTGGATATCGCCAGTGACGTCGTCGATGGTGAACACGGTACCTGCCCCCTCGCCTGACAGGATGTACTTGATAGAGCCGTCGCCCCTGTCCATGTCCGAGTGGAGCTGGGGAGGGTAAAGAATGAATTTGGGACTGTCCTGAACGTAAAGATTAAAGGTCATCCATCGGGACTGTGATCAAAGCCGAAATCTCCATAAATGGACCAAAACCTAGAGACATTCCTACTCTGGCTGTCTGACAGACAGACTAAATACTGTACTTTAATCCCAGAGGGAAAATGAAGACTTTTCAGGGATCTTCTAAGGGCGTGGCAATCTACTCCCCCGTCAGGTCAAATTGCAATTCCACTTGAAATCTCCCAGCTTGTGGGCTCGAAGCCCCCCGGTGCACGAACTGCAACCGCTTTCCCTTTCGCCTGGAGGGGATTTCCCGCTAACGAGGGCTCCTCTGCCCCCAGTGAAACGAGGTCAGGCGAAGGCATCAATTAAACACCAGGCTGTCATGGGCAACCGGCAGCGGGTAGCAGCGAGCGTCACGCTCCGGTGGCGTGCGCCCCAATCGCCCCTGGTGACGGTTCCCGTGGTGATGCATGAAAGGGGGGCACCGCAGAAAACTGAGGCACTGTACTTTCACGGTGCATCGCTCGGGTGATTATTTTTTCTGCCACACTCATGTCCCCCCCCACCCTCTGATGCATCTGGGGGCCCGATCTGGCATTCTGCTCCGCTTCTCTCAGGCGCTGCGTAAACTTACCCCCCCCCCCCCATCTCCTTTCAGCTTGCACCAAGGGATCCAAATGCCTAGAATACTAAACTCCCGCGGCTCCTTTTCGGAAAATGCCGCGGGTGCAGCAGAGTTGTATCATTTTTCTGCACAGACGGGAGCGGCGCACAAACAGCGGAGGCTACTGCCTTTTCCTCCAAACGCTTACGGTGATGCGCACATGACACTCATCTTTTGTCTCATTCAGGGGATGCTCCGGGGAACTGGGTTTGGGATCGACGCAGCATCACACATGCCTGGCTGCACACCAGTTCCCATTCAGATTAAATGGTTAGCTCAAAGGTACAACAGAAACGCCCCCGTCATGTGACCAGTGCAAACTGAGCGACCTGTTGGGAGCAAGGATGCCTTCTACTGGACACTATTGTCAATGACATAGTTGTTGATTACCTTTAAGATGGAAGAACATTTAACTCTGTAATTGAGAAGAATAAGATTGTCAGGTATGTGGAATGGGAAACTTGTATAACAAGTATAACAGATTTGAATGGTTGAAACTTTCCCAGTAAAAAGGAACAGTGTGTAAGGTCTCTTAATAATGTCCCGTGGACACTTGACCATGGGGTGGATTTGTCATGGGTAATGGGCTCAAGGAGCTCGTGCTGATGATTGGAGTCTCTCGGGACTCCATGCAAAGACTGCAGGGAATTTTCTAGCTTATTAATATGCTTGGGAGTCAACCCTTTCACAGTCTGTTAAATACAGCACCTTGGTGAAATGTTTATGGTCTTATAATCACCGTTTATGTGTCATTCCTGTTTAGAAGCCCCACGGTCAATATTATGGTTAATATCACAGGATTATTTTCTGCTGGGGTGTCAGGAGGCACCTCTGCTCTGTGAACTTCTCAGAGAGCCTGTAGATAGGTGCTGTCCCGCTGAAGGTGGAGGCTGAGCCCCGGTAGATGCAGCATCACACATGATGGTGTGTGGAGGAGATACTGAGCAGCCCTGGATGGTCATGGAGTGAAACCATCAGCAGAACTGCCTCCCTGTCCACCAAAGGTCACTTTATTGTTTGCCGCCTTATTGTTTTTTTGAAGGACAGCAAGGGCCTGGGCTCTGTGACGGTGATCAGAGGGTAATAGTGTAGTGATGTCACCGCTGGGCCCTTGAGCGAGGCTCTTAAGCCCCAACCGCTCAAGGGACTGGCTGAGCTGCTGTTACACTCTGATCCTCACTTGTATGTCTCTTTGGATGAAAGGGCCAGTTAAATATGTTGTAAGACTCAGCAGGTTAGGCCTCTATACTTATGACTGGAAGGTCGTCTGTTCGAATCTCAGGGTCGATGGAGCGATTTCGCAACTGGGCTCGGAGCAAGGTCCCTAAACCCCAATTGCCCCAGGCACTGGGTGGCCGTGCTTTCTCAAAAAGGCATGTTACTTTGGATAAATACATTTTTCAAAGACCTTAAGCTTCTAAATATATAAGACCCTATACATCTCACAGCTTCAGAGGAGCGCCTTTATGATTGGGTGACCAGCAGAGCCACCCTCGGAGACAGCGTACCTTTCCAATGTATAGGGGCTCCAGGCCAGTGTACTCCTCCAGGACGAAGAACTGATTCCACACCCAGCCCCTCTTCACGCGCCGGAGCGTCTCCTCTGCTCCATCGCCGGGGTCCTGCTCTTCGGACCACGATGGCGGGACGGTCATCACCAGGACGAGTGTGCTGAGGATCCCCAGGCTGACGGAGAACATGGTGCTGACGCTGAGCCAAGAGTCGGCGTGCGTTTATCCAAAGATCACGCGTTTGGCTGGCTGTGAAATCCACAGAAGGCAGTCCACTCCTGGTTCTTCTCGATCTGCTGTCGTCCTGTAGTAGAGAACAGTGGAGTCTTACTCAGATGTTTATTTCAAAGCAAACAAGCAACTAATAAAAATCCATCCATCAATCCATCCATTCTCCAAGCACTTATCCGGTACAGGATGCATGGGTTGGACAGGAGGCCAGTCCATCATAGAGGACACCCACTCGCACACAGTGTCAGTCAAAGCCCATGTGCCAAGCTTCACCGCTAACGCCCCCCCATGTCCGAGTGAAATCAGCTTGCTAAGTCTGCGCCTCCTCAGGAAACGGCACCCTAGGTGACTGCCTTTGTTGCCCGATGGATTGCCCGTCTCTACTCACACACTGCGGACATGTACATTAACCCAGCTAGGTGTTTGCCTGTGGGCTGTGGGAGGAAGACAGAATACCTGCTGAAAATGCACATGGAACATGGAGAACATGCAAACTCCACGCCCACATGACCGAGGCGGGATTCAAGCCAGGCGATCAATTAGCCAGCTTGCTTCCATGTCTTTAACCACCTAGTCACCTCCTGCTCTGGAAACAGGAGTGAATATACAGTATGACAGGTGTTAAATCTGGGACTTGCAGCCAGACTGAAGCTTCGTTAAGAATGTGCCACATGGCCTCCTGCATTTTTTGCATCATAAACCGACAGATGTAAATTCTTGCATATAAATGCACAACTGAAGTTGGGTATGGACAATTCTGCTGGTCTTACAGCGATACCTTTCAGTTAAGGAGAATGCCTTCAGAATTATTAGCTGTAACTGAAATGTGGTGCCTTTTAGTACCATCCCAACATCACCGTCTTTCAGAACCTGCGGATGACGATGTGGGGCACCGAGGACCCCCGGTGGGTGGATTTGGACCCCTGTCGTCATACCCGCACCGCCCACCGATATCTGGGCATCTTCAGACTCTTACCGTTGGAGGAGGTGTGATGTTCTGGAAGCACCGTTCCCCGCCCCCCCCCCCCCCATTCTCAGCCCTGCATTGCCTTGGGGGGGCCCTGTGTGAGGCATAACAGTAATCCATCTGTCTGCATGTTTCACAGACTCCTTTACTGGCTGCCCCCCCCCCAACCCCTATAATCAACCACTCATTAAAAGACTACCTTTGTGCGTCTCTTTATAAAGTATAAATACATCTATCTGGCAGATGACTTTCTGCAAAGCAACTTGCAGCTCAGTGCCAATAAAAAGTGCAGTAATCTGAAAAATCCACACCAGGAAAAACTAATTCTTAGCTCCATGTATTGAAACGCACTGGAATTTTACACTGTGTATTTATTAATATAAGATTACTGGCTATTCAGTGCCACGTCACGATTCAGTTAATTGCAGTTGAATAATAATAATAAATAATAATGGTATTAATAATAGCTTTGAAAGACAAGCAATATCACAAAAGACAAATATGTTGAGGCACAAAATCCTTCAGACCGAAAATAATACATAACGATAGAAATATTGAAAAGAAGTAGAAGAGAATTACACCCACTTTGGACAACTATGATTATACATGCTGGCCATCAACATGGGTGATCAACCTGGGATTCCAGACCACCCCCAGGGGGCCCAGGGCTCTGGCCACTACCCCTGACTAATGCTCACTTTTCGTTTGGTTTCGTGGCGACAGGTGTGGCACCGTCATAATGACGGCAAACTGTTCTTTACCTGGGTTTCACTGACCACCACTGGAGGCCTGCATGATGTCATCTTTGTCCTCTGTCCTTAACAGCCCGTAAAAATGGCCACATTTATTGCCGGCAGGAGGAGGTAAAAGAATAGGGGTGGTGGTGGTTGGGCAGGGGGGCTGAGGGCATGCCATTATATACTTTTTTGTTCCCAAGAAGCCAGCAGTTCTGTTTTGTGGGGCATTGTAGGGGGTGCTGAGCCTCAGTCTATCGTTAGTGGGCAGAGACAAAGCCGGGGGCAGAGCTGGAGGTGGGGGAGGTCTGGAAGGCGCCCCAACAAAGTGGAGGAGCGCCGACCTGTGCCGCCCCCTCCCTTTCAGATCATTCAAGTGGACCTTTGTCATTATGAAGTCAAATTAGCTCCCAGCCATCTTGCCTGCTTCTTTAAAGAGTCCCCCCCCGCCATCTCCTAATCTTCCACCCCACCAGCCACAGCCTTCTGAAAAGGGTCACAGCTCCCCCCTACACCCACTCCCCTACGCTTCCATTTTGTCCTGTCTAATGAGGTGACACCCCACATAATTGTGTTGTTGGAAAGAGTCTGGAAAAGCACACAGTAGTTTCCCCCGAGTTTTTAAAAGCAGATTTTTAAAAGCTGAATGTTTTTTTTTTTTTGTAACAGGGTGGCTTTAAGTTCGGAGAAAGTGTCTCCTCTGAAAAGTTTCAGGAGATATTAATGTTTATGCTTCCTTCTTTCTCTTCCAAAGTTCCGGAAGACGTTCATGTTTATGCTCCCTCTTCCTTTTTCAAAGTTTCAGAAGAGCAGATCCAAATATTTATGCTTCCCTCTTTCTTTTCCAAAGTTCCGGAAGATGTAAATGTTCATGCTTCCATCTTTCTCATCCAAAGTTTTGGAAGATATAAATGTTTTACCCTTTCTCTTCCAAAATATATGTGGATTGTGGGCAAAATGGAGTGATTTACAATCTTCTTAACTATCTTCTTAACAAGACAGTAGACGGGAATCTGGGAGGGTGTCGGAATTCTGACTCCCAAGTACGGCACGCCATAGCGCTTACGCCACGGCAAATTTGTAAAACACAATCGATTCGGCACGGTGGATGAGGGTGGCACTGTGATGATGGGCTCACTTTTGACCCCCCACATGGAGAGCCCCCGCCTTGTTCGCATGGCCTGGAGATTTTCCAGTCAGTGGGCACCAAAGCACTCTTTTGGCCTCTCGGAGTTGGATGTGAGATTCCTCCCACCCCAAGAGTAGGGCGTAGGTGGACACGATAGTCTTTGCAGCCAAATTCGCTGAAACAGCTGCCTCTGAGAAGCTGCCTCTCTTTCTGCCTCCGAGATGTTGAAAACCAGTCAGAGGAAATCCCCCACCGAGGTATAGGGGACAGACCCCTGGGACGGTAGCATGATGTTTAACAGCCAGGTGACTGATACAATTCACAAGGCAACGAAAGCAGCTGGTCTTTGGCTCAGTATGCTTGGGGTGTGGGCTCATGTTCTGAAGGTCATGGGTTCAAATCCCATGGCTCCCTAGCTGTCTTTGCATGGATGTCACTTTGGGCATAATCATCCGTTAAATAAGTAACCGAAAACTGAACCTTTCATCTCAAATCACAAGCTATGCTGCATGCTTGTGAGAGCTGGGCCATCGTTCCTAGCCCCCCCAAAACAAACAGCAAGCTTCATTTATAATACAGGTATGTAGGGGTGTTTGTCCTTGACTTTGTCCATCCCCCGAAAGATGCCGCATTTCAAACACCCCCTTCAAACGGAAAGGTTGAGGTAGAAGGGGTCACACCCCCGAACGTGAAGCGTGTGTGGACCTACTGGGCGGAGGCGGGGTGAGTTATAGACAGCACATTAGCATAGAGACCTAAGGGTGCACCAACCAAGTTCATCTGAAGCAGGGAAACAGCAGCTGGTGGCTTCAGAGGTCTGAATACCGATTTTCTCTGATCTGAATACCAATTTCCTGTATAAACCTCACTCTGCCATCTACCACATTCTATAAAGAAGAGAGGAACTATAATGCCAGGCAAAAGTTTGGACACACCAAGCCACTTACAAAGGAGAATGCTAGAGTGACGCATCACTTCACCTGGGCTCCTGACCTAAATCAAGTAGAGATGGTTTTGGAGGAGATTGACGAGAGAGTGATGGAAAAGCGGCCAATGAGAGCTCAGCATATATGTGGGACCTCCTTCAGGACGGCTGGAAAAGCATCCCAGGAGGCCACCTCATGAGACTGGTGTATAGGAGCCAATAGGGTCGGTCAGTACCTGGGGAAATTGGGGTTAAGGACCTCGCTCGACACATGCCCTAGGCGTCCCTCTAAGGTCAGAAGTACCAGAATCTTCCGGAATGGCCCGGGGGACGCCTGCTCTCATTTCTGATGGCACGGCGCATGGCTCCGCCTCACTTTCGGCATCGCTAATCACTGGCCGCCACACGGATAATGGCTCGGATGTCTCCCTGCCCCTTTTTCCGGAATTCTTGTCAATCTCTCGCCCTATTTTCCACTCCAATTTAAAAGATAGGAGACAGCTTAATGGTTTGGAGTGGATGGGGTGGTGGTGTGGGGGCAGGGGGGGGGGGATGTCGTCTGGTTGAAAAATTAAACCCTTGACTGTGACTGCAGAATGAGGCCTGAATGTTAAACCAAATCCCTAATAGCAGAGTAATACTTTAGCACGGCGCGGTTTAGCAGCAGACAGACCGGATGTGTGCGGCATTAATTACGCTTTCCACGGAGCATCCAATCACCATTACGAGGCTTTGCCCCTTCTGCCGTTTCCCCAGTGTTAAAAGCCACGGCCAGATTTTATAAGCAAAAATGCAAAAAGGCAAGACCTCAGATGAAACGACTGACTGTAAACAAAGACATCACACCTGTTGGGCTTTGGGCGGGAAGGTAGGACCGAAGAAGCCGTTGACAGGCCCCCGTTTAGTCAGAGAACCTCCAGCTCAAGTAGAAGTTGCCCTGTTACATCATACATACATATCAAAAACCTTTCTAGGATCCCCTGAGCAAAAGCTCTTTAAAATTCTACTGCTTACCTGCCTCCTCTCTTCCGCCCTCATTGTCTCCTCCTGACAGCTTTCCTTTCTACTCGTTCTCCGCGCTCGCTAAATCCCACCACCGAGCCCGTAAAAACTTCCGAGGATGGCTTATGGATCCCCTCCCCCCCAAGCCCCCATTGCCGACTCACCGCACTCGTCCCAGCAAAGTCACCTTGAGCGCCTCTTACACGTGTTGAGCTCCCCCGTCCGCTCAAAGTTTCATCTTGGCTCTCTCCGTCAGTGAGAAATACTCCACGGGCGGAGGGAGAGATTCAAGGATTGTGGGAGGTGAGGGGGAGAG